ACATCATCATCTTTTAAGAAGGACATTCGACCAAATAAAGTGCAGTGTATTTCTTTCGGTCAAAAATATTGTTTACGTTATTCACCGTTTGTAGAGTTGAGGACCCATTAACTAAAAATTATATTCAGGGTTGACGCTTTGCATAACCTACAACCACAAAAACTGTTGAGAATAAGAAGAAATAAACCTTGTATGAAGTGATTTAATGAGGAAACCAATTTAAACTTTTAATCTTCATAGAGTCAACTTTTCAAAGAATGTTTATGAAAACGAGTTTAATTGAATATCCATTGGTCGTTAACTTTAAAAGTACGACATAGTAGTGGCAGAGAACAAAACATTTACGGGCAGTGTTCATACTTGGAGCTCAAGCCAATATCCGGGTCACGAGAAAATAGCGTCAAACCATTATATGCATTTGCACACTTTATCATGTGCTTATTTCGATCGCTGGAATCGAAATAAGCCACTGTGTTCAAGTTGTGGAGGTCTTAAAATACAATTTTCGCGAAGATGACTGCATTTCCGACGAAAATATTTCCAAGGAGGATTGGAACTGTCATCTTTATAAATAGCGAGCTTTCAGATTAAAACCAATTGCTCACTCTTCTCACCATAAACAAAGCTATATCCTACATTTAATCCACCAGGTGGCTACACAGTTCAGGACGCCGTGTACTGCTATAATGCCATTGACTACTATGGGATCGCTGAGGTTAAAGCCACCGATGAAGACCTAAGGAAATTCCTTGTCGCACGCATAGAAAGTTTCACTGAGTAAGTGTTTGGTTAAAATAATATGGGTATGGGCGGGTTGTGGTGTGATTGATTGTTTGATTGATCGATTGATTGTTCGATCAATCAATCGATCGATCTATTGAGTGAGTGATTTTTGCTATTTGCTGCGATGAAAAAAGGATAACTGAAGAAATCCGGAAGTTTTACAGCATGTTGTACAGTAAAGTAGAGTACGAGTGCTCTGATAATTGTTATAATAGTTTCTTTCAAGGTTTACCGAAATTGACTGAAAAATCTCGAGAACACTGTGAAGAATCTATAAGTAATAAAGAATGCCTAGAAATCTTAAAAGAATTAAAACAGAACAAATCACCTGGAAATGACGGTTTTTCTTCAGAATTTTATCGTACCTTTTGGCCGGATATTGGAGATTTAGTTAAAGATGCCTTGAATGAAGCATATAGATTAGGAGAATTAGCATCGTCTCAAAAACAAGCTGTAATTACGTTAATCGCTAAAGATGGGAAAGATCCCTTTTTACTGAAAAGTTATAGACCCATTTCCTTCTTAATGTCGATTATAAAATGTTAACAAAAATTTTGGCTAAGCGAATCAAGAAAGTATTAAATGAGATCATTATGGGAGATCAGGTGGGCTACATGAAAGGGAGGGATATTGGTGAGGCCATTCGCATTATAGATGATATTATTTTTCATACATCCCGTTACAATTTATCTGTTTTTTTGTTAGCTATAGACTTCGAAAAAGCTTTTGACTCAATTTCACATCAATTTCTTCAAAAAGTTCTGTCGCCATTTGGTTTCGGTCCATCCTTTCAAAAGTGGGTTAAAGTTTTATACACGAACACTCTAAGTTGTGTATTAAATGAAGGAGGGTCCACTGGTTATTTCAAAGTAGAAAGGGGAGTAAGACAGGGAGACCCTCTTTCTCCGTACCTCTTTATCTTGTGTATTGAAGTAATGGCACACAAATTACGAATAGATAAATTTGGTGGACGGAATTAATTTTGGAGATAAGGAAACTAAACTAGTAACTTATGCGGATGATATGACAATTTTTGTTCGCAATAAAAAATCAATTAATAGGTTAAAAGTATTATTTGCAGATTTCGAAAAAAATTCTGGACTGAAAATAAACAACGACAAGACTAAAATATTAAGGTTAGGTTTATGTCAACGTTTAGATTGTGATTTTGCTTTTGGCGAAATAGTTGAATTTCTTAAGGTTTTAGGGATTTTCTTTTCCCTCGATGAACACAAGAAAGAAGATCTGAATTATAAAGAAATCTTAAGTTAAATAAAAACACTTTTAAATTTTTGGAAGCAAAGGGATTTAACACTTATGGGTAAGATTAAACTACTGAAGGTGCACATTAATTCTAAAGTTCTTTATCGGACGTCACTTGCTCCTGTTCCAAAATGGGTTTATGATTCACTGGATGAATTAACTTTTGATTTCATATGGAAAGGAAAAACAAATAAAATCAATAGAAACACCATGTTCTTAGACTATAAGCAAGGGGGGTTAAAGATGTTAAATTTTTCTGCACAAGTTAAATCGCAGCGAATTATGTGGATTCAAAAACTTCTAAACAAAGATGAAGACATGAAATGGAAACAATATTTTAACTTTGTCACTGAACACGTGGGTGGAGATTTGATATTTTCATGTGACTATATACCAAGTTTATTAAAAGTGACAGCTCCACAATTTTATATGGATTTATTAGAAGATTGGGTGAATACGAGACATATAAGGAGTATAGACATTGGTGATGTGGTAATTTTTTAATAATAAACTTATTCGATATAAAGGAAGTTGTATATACGATAAGAGGTTGTATGACAAAGGAATTTACAAATTAAAACATATTCTGGAAAACGATGGTAAACTAAAATGTGACAGGCATTTTATCGATTTAGGTGTTGAAGTAAATGAAATTGAAAAGATCAAGCACTTTTATGCCTGTTTTATTGTTGGAAAAATAATTTTAGAAAGGGAGAAGAAAAAAATAATTCTGGAACTGATTTCATTTTGGGGAAGAAAACAACTAATATAGCTGATCTAAAATCAAAACAAATTTATGTACAATTAATAAAGAAAGATGATTTTAAACCTTTGGTTTTTGAGAGAATTGGAAGGAACTATGGTTTTTCCTGTAAGGAAATAGAAAACATATTTTAAAGACTAAGACAGTGTACACTTAACAGTCGATTAAGAGAGTTTCAGTTTAAACTTATACATAATATATTATATACAAACCATCACCTCTTCCGTTTTGGTCTTGTCTCGACTAAGTTATGCTCATTTTGCGAAAAAGATGAAGAAACATATAAACATTTATTCTATACTTGTGAATTTGCACAATCAGTGTGGGGAATGTGCACGAGATTTTTAGACTTTGAAATACATAACTGTAGTTTGGAGGAAATTCTGTATGGGAAAGAGGAGAGAAATAAAGGAAAATATCAATTAATGAATCATGTTTTAATTCTTGTTAAATATCTGATTTATAGAAATAGAGAACTTAAAAAACCACCCTCTTTTAATGAAATAAAGAATAGTATAATAGGGGATAAAGTAGAAGAAAGGAAATTAGCAGCAATGAGGGGAACTCTCACTATTCATTTTTCTAAATGGGAAAACCTGAGTATTAGACAAACAATTGGAACCCAGAGCCAGTCGTCCATCGGTTAAGAGGGGGGGGGGGGGGGGGGGGGGGGGGGGGATAAGGGAGAGGTCGGGTAGGGTAGGGTTAACAAAAAGAGAAAACTTTTCTCTCAGGACAACAGTATTAAAGAAGTATAAGTTGCTACATTGTTAAAACAAAAATTTTGGATTATACAACTGCATATGTTTTCTTTGAAAATATGAATTTTTGTGTCGAATATGATGTATAGGAACTAACTATGTAAGTTTCCTTTGAAGCCGTTTGTAAGACAAAAATTTATACTGATTTATAATGTCATCACATTTGCAGTGAGCGTTACATATGATGATTGTAATTTGTACTATGATTATAATTTGTTTCAAGAGAGAAAAGAATAAAAACTGACCATAAAAAAAAGTGATTAAAATATAGCTTATCCACTTCGGCAGTGAATATATAGCCAGTATTGCCAGTATAGCCTGAAACGAGGATCTGCCTGCAGTCTTCTCTGATTCATGAAAGGTTCTCACCGGATTAGATGTCTGCCTGTGAAACCATGTGAGTTGGTTGGTCACATAATGGTCACATCTACCAATCCTATATAGACGAATTTCACATTAGCCCCGCACTTCGAGTTGAAAACGAGGCTCACAGTTCTTTCAACACAATTTATGCCTGAATGAATCATGCAATAATTGGCAACGCAGTACTATGTCCCTTTGCAGCCAAAATCAAATTCTGTAGAACTTTGCAGGAATTATGAATATGTCATGTATGTCCTATCTGTGAAATTTAAACATTAGCAGTGTCGTAGAATTCAAATTATGCAAGGAAACCCTTTTACCTGCTCGACTTCACTGTCAGACACTATTGAGTGACTGACTGGCTTTTTTCTTTGGTAATCAGATACATAAAATAAGGTGTAACAGGTACATGAGCATTTGTCTACATCAATAACACTCTACTTGTAAGGGCCAAAATTAAACCGATTGAATCTATGTGCAGCACAAAACTTACGACCATTCGGTAAGAAGGTCTGGAAATTAGGTGATTGCAATCACTTAAAGGCACACTGCCCTTCTTGTAGGCACTTGCTCCCTCTCTATAGAAAACTTCCCCAATCGGTGCCTGTCGGTCCCCCATGATCCTCTTTTTCTTATGTTAAATGAGAGCTGAGTTAATGAGATAGCCACCTGTCACAGTGACCTCGCTGGCTCGCTGGGTGGTTTAATCCCTTCTAGCTGTAGTAGTAAAGCCTGCCTTTAAATCGATTCGACCAACTAATTGTCGTTATTTTCTCACTAAAAGCCGTTTTCAAGCCCTTTCGTTTTGTAAAGAATTTATAAATTAGTATTGTCTTTTTAATGCCGTTCGAATTTACCCTTTTTTTTGCCTGAATATGGGACATACCTTAAGACCATGAGAACCTCGTTTTCAAACCTGGAAGTGTGCAGATTGGTGCTATTTTCTTAAATTTGAAGTTCGTCTATATTTTGGCCTTTTCAACCAACCTGTATTAAGCGTGTATATCGGTTATTTTCAATCAAAATGTATTTAGCGTGTATGCTCATGATTGTATTTGAAGGTACACGGAGAAAATGTTCAAAGAGTGGTACATCCAGGACCCGAAAGGGATTGCCATGGGAGACGCCGCTGCCTCCTACTCTAAATTCGAGAAGGACGTGGCTACAGAGGAGGAGTCGTTTTACCTGCTGATTGCCATGTTGCCGTGTGAGAAGCTGTGGGGGTGGCTTTCCCAGCAGATCGAATCAGGCATAGTAAGAATAGACCAGCTCCATTAAGCCCCGCCCCTTTTCTTAATGACCGATCCCAGCCGCATTTTACACGCACTCACACGCATGGAACGGTGTCTGTCGGACCATAGTCGCGGTCGTGATTGGTCAGTTTGTCAAGGGGCGGGGCTTTATGGATTATCGTATTCAGCTTGTTAAGAATCCAACAATTTATAGGGGTTGGTCGCCGAAACATTTTGCACACGACCCCTTGCTGTACTGCTCCCAAACTACGTCATATTTCATGTCCCATTGTTTACATGCTTACTAGTTTCGTTTCGTTCTGTTCAAACTCTGGGCAGACAGGTAAACCCTCACGAAGACACGTTTTGTTTGTTTATTCTGATGAAAATAAAACAATAATTAATTGACGGATTATTTATATTTGTAGCCGGTTGGAATTTTTGAAGTTGAAATTGTTGTGATGTACACAAATTTGTTTGGGATCGATCAAACTAAAACCGCCATCAAATAAAAAGGGTAAAAACATTTATATATGAAAACTGAAAACTAAACGAAATTCTGTATAATTATTTGTCCAAAGTACAGGTTTCCACGTTACGTATTTTTAATTGTGCAATTATAGAATGACACCAACGTGTACAGTTTCTGGATAGAAGATAATCTGCCGGAAAGCGATACACTCGCGACTTACATCAACGAGAATGCCGAGAGGTTTAATGTGGATCAACAGAAGGCCATGGACATCTACCAAAATGGTATGCAGTGCGAGGTGGATTTTTTCACTTCGGCAACAATCGAGGAGGACAACTGAATGGTCTGAACGTTCCAACGTTCCAACTGTGAGGTTGCAACACTCTTAATTAATTAATGCAAAAATACACATGATCGAAACCTACTTGGTGAACGTAAGGCTCCGTCATTTTTTTGCAATTCTATTAAGCGCAATTGATACTGGAATACTCTTTTTATGCCTCCGTTACGAAGTATCCGGAGGCATTATGTTTTCGGGTTGTCCGTCCGTCCGTCCGTACGTACGTCCCGTTCTCGTGATCGCGTTATCTCAAGAACCGCTGGTTGAATTCCTGCCAAACTTAAACCATGTATGTATCTGGCAGAGCCAATGAACTGATTAGATTTTGGGGTCAGGGGGTCAAAGGTCAAAGGTCACCGGGCTCATTATGTATGCAAAAATAGCTCGTGATCACGTTATCTCAAGAACCGATAGATGGATTCCTGCCAAACTTAAACCATGTATGTATCTAGCAAAGCTAATGAACTGATTAGATTTTGGGGTCACAAGGTTAAAGGTCAAAGGTCACAGGGCTCATTATGTATGCAAAAATAGCTTGTGATCGCGTTATCTCAAGAACCGATAGATGGATTCCTGCCAAACTTAGATCATGTATGTATCTAGCAAAGCTAATGAACTGATTAGATTTTGGGGTCACAAGGTTAAAGGTCAAAGGTCACAGGGCTCATTATGTATGCAAAAATAGCTTGTGATCGCATTATCTCAAGAACCGATGGATGGATTTCTGCCAAACTTTAGTCATGTATGTATCTTGCAGAGCCAGTGATCTGATTAGACTTTGGGGTCAAAGGTCAAAGGTCACAGGGCTCATTATATATGCAAAAATAGCTTATGATCACATTATCATTAAACCGAGGAACAGATAACCATCAAAACATGTATTTATCTTGCAAAGCAAATGAATTGAGTAGATTGTGGGGTCATGAGGTCAAAGGTCAAAGATCATGGGGCTCATTATGTATGCAAAAATAGCTTGTGAACGCCTTCTTATTAGAACTGACGGATGGATTACTATCAAACTTGAGACATGTATGTATCTTGCAGAGCCATTGACTTGATAAGATTTTAGGGTCATAAGATCAAAGACCAAAGGGTCATACATGAATATAAAAAATAACTTGTAATCGCGATTCTGCGAACCTGTTAATGGATTACAATCGGACTTGAATTTGAAAAATTGCTCTATGGCGGAGGCATCATTTTCGACTGCGCGCAGTCGAACATCCATCTAGTTTATAATGTTTTTTAGCTCGTGGCAATTCTAGCAGTTTATGGCAATTTTTGGAAAATCGCGTTTTATTCGTAGAATTTAGTTTTAAGTGGAATGTTATCTGTAACATATGATCATTAAGTATGTGCGTATTAACCATATGTACAAAATAAAACCTGGAGGCGTATTGGTGCGAATAAAAAATTATTATGTTGATTGTACACGGTAAATGGTCTTGGTCAAAATACTATAAAAAAATAGAGAAGAAAAAATAGCAACATGTCACCACCAGCTGACAATTTGGAGTTTGTGATTTGTTTTTCCAAAAATAGTGATGATCAGATAACTGGGTTCGAATTTTGGAAATTATTGCCTCGTCTCTCCAGGCCGTTTAATCAAACGGCACAATTAACCTTCCACTACAACCCCCATTCCGGTGTTGCACATGTGTTTATTTAAACCGTTCACGTGGCGACTGCAACCGCACTTTTGACTGGCCACTCCCGAATCCATAAGAGCTTGACGAACTGACCAATCACGGCCTCGACAATGGTTTGAAAGAGATCGGTCCATGCGCGTGAAACGATTCGACCTGCTCGGAATGCCACTCCCACATCTTCTCGCACACAAAATGTGAACCTCTGTAGCTGCATTTTGAGGAATGTTTCCCAATTTCGGCTTTCAAAATTTAAATGCCACAGTAACGAGAAATAAGGAGCTCTTCAGTGATACCAAACTGATCCTTTAATGTGAAGAAAAAAATATATAGAGAAAATGATTGTAGAAAAAAAGCTTTGGAAACAAAATCATCCGTTTCTTGTGCTACCCACGTCCCCAGGAAAAAAAGCTTATTTTGAACAGGCAAAACATTTCAAACAAAATAGCCCCTAAAGATTCTATGAGACTCACAGTTTTAAAAATGCCAACAATTTAAATTGATGCCGACTAGATTTAATTTGTTTTATTCTTTGTTTCTACTTATTTTTGGGGGAATATTTGACTTCGAGCAATAATTGATTTGAAGAAAACCACCCACTCTTACCCTACAAGGCAAACTGAAAAATTCAATTTAAAAAAAAATAAATCAAAAAACCGCATTGGCTCTCAAATCAATTAGACACGCCGGCCCGGACATCTGGAACTCTCTGCCCATTGTAATAAGAAACCTTAGGACATTGTTTTCTTTTAAGAAGGTATTTAACATTTTACCGTATTCATGTTCGTGTGTACATTGACTGTATATCCAACAATGATGTGTAATCGTCCATGACCTAGCATCGTTTATCCATTTATGAATGAACCTACATTCAATTAGCAGATGTATGAGATTTATTGTACTATTACCAACGCCCCTTTTCTCCCCTTTCCTTTTCTTCTCTGCAAGTCACTTAAAAAAAAAATATATATATTTGTATTGTTGTATCTAAGTTGAGGCCTGCGGGCACGTCAAGCTACTTTGCTTATTTTTGTAACCCTCCTGCATCTAATGTATGTTAATTATGCATTTAATATATTTGTTTAACTTCGTTTATTATCTGTATACAATTATATACACTTAAAATATTGTATCAAACCATATTATGTTCATGAAAATGTATGATGAAAAAAGAAAAAGATGCAGAAACCAATAAATCTAAATCTAAATCTAAATCAAATCAAAATGAAATTACTCAAAAATTGTCTTGGGGGAAACTTTCCTTATTGCACTACATAAGGCCACAAATTTTTGTAGCACAGAATAGTTTCGATTTGGAAAAACGTGTTAAGTATTAGGGACATCTAAAAGCCTTAGCTATTTAAGCTCTGGCTTCCCCGAACGGCCTCCATTACTCATTTACTTAGCCAATCTTGTATTGTCAGTAATAAGTAATTGTAACGGGTCGATAATTGGATCAAAAAATAGAAACATGTACTGCAATTGCAAAAAGGGGCACCAAATATGTGAAGTTTTCATTGAATGAATTTTAATTGAATTGTATTTCTTTATTGTCATGCACAAATAAAATGAAGGCATAAAAATCGTCTTACGACTCATATTTCTATAAAATATGACAATACATTAACATAATCATGAACAAATAACTAGAAATAACATAAATAACATAACAATGTAATATTAGTTAATGTCTCTGTTGAGAGCCGGAGGAATTATTTGTATTATTTGTACTCCCCTGGCTCCCAACAGACAATACTAACTAAAATATATTCTAGAAAATGTTCATGACAACAATCAATAACATTTAAATCGAACAAATCACAGCCAAGATCTAAAATCAAAACAGACATAAACTAACCATACATTATATACTGGATTTCAAATAGGAGGGACAAGAGAGAGAAAAGAAGAGAGACAGAGAGAAATTGAGAAAGGAAGAAAGAGAGATAGAGAGAGGAAGGAAGAGAGGAACAGTTCAGTGTGAGATGATGCATATACAAATTCCTTCAAAACATTGCTTTGTAATAGACATTATTATTATTGCATCTGTGCTTAGTTATGTTACCTAACATATGAAACAATAGTATGCATGCCAAGAAGACAACGGTATGCTAGTACATGTACATATAGATGGTAGATACACTGAACAATTGAAAGAGGAAAATTGATGTCAGATAGAAGAGGCGAGAAGAGAGACAAGAAAGAAAGAAGAAAAGGAAAGAAAGGAATGGGAGGGAAAGTGCAGTGTGAGATATTGAATATATTGTCGAATTGATGGGTCTACATGTCACACAAAAAAGATTCCCCTGTAGGCCCATGCATTATGGTTCAAGGCATGCCCACATAGAGGAATTTTGTAAATGTTGGGGATAGGGGCAAAATCGGTCCCCAACAGGAAAAATTCCTCTGTAGGACCATGCATTATGGTTCAAGGCATGCCCCCAAATAGATTTTTTTTAATGTTGAGGATCGGGGCAAAATGCAATGAATTATTGATGGATTATTGCATTTATTTTTGTTTTTGTATTTGTGGGGGTGGCCCCATACCCTAGCCCCCGCTGCGTACAGTCATTATTCGGTGGCTAAACAATGGCCTCGTAATACTGTGAGCCCCTAGGATCAAAACCGTGTCGATGGGCTATATAAGTGCCCTTTTGTGAGGCATTAATCCTCATTACTGTCAGTTATGACTTAATGACGTATATCCCCTAGTTGATTAGCATAGTAACCCACACATGCTTTAGCAGTCACGCAAAACAAACACACTAGAATTGTTATTCAATAAAATCTGAGAATGTATACTATTATCTTGATTTATTAGGAATAAATCATGTATAATGGTTTCCCTATAATCAGGGGCAGCCTAGCGACTTACAAAGTGGTGGGGGCACCAACAAAAAGGGCACCTACAAAGGGAAAGGTCCCTTATTAGAAGAAAAGGGTAACCGAATTGAATTTTGCTGCTCCATGGCTGCAAGAAGCCTGGGGGCAGACATCAAATTACATCGATTGAAAACACATATTTATTATAGGAATGAATATCTGTAATCTATTTTATCGGGTCTCCCAAACGTGGTATCAAACGAGAACGACTGAGAGGAAGGATTCAAGATGAATAGGTATAATAATTACACATTGTACCGGAACAGAAAACAACAGTGGACTTTAGTGTTGAAATGCCTAATTGTCAGAATTGGCGACGGATGGGGGAGAGTTCTATGCGTGTATGCGGGCGTGCGTGTGTGGTTATGTCTGTGAGTGGAGGCGGCGGTGTTTTTTCCTCGTTTAAATCAGTTCAGTACTCATATTTAAGTATAAATATCTTTTCATACCAATGGCCCACACGATTTCTTTCAAACAAATTTTGTCCAACAGATTGACTTTTTCAATATGTAAAGTTATGTGGATAATTATAATAATAATAACAATAATGACAACAGTTATTCCAAGAACGTAGCGGAAGCAGAGCACCAACGGGGTTGGGGGGGGGGGCAGAAAATCATGCC